CAGCTTGTTTGTAGTCCAGCCGCTTCCCTTTCATCCCTGTGACGTCACCGCCCTTCTCTGCTTCTGATTGGCTAGTAGTCCTTAACTAAGAACTGCGCATGTGCAACTCCTAACAATGATTATTTAGAGACGAGATGTATCACCCCATAGCTAAAATGAAGCGTTCAACACACAGGGTGAAAAGAGGAGCTACAGCAATGTGCAGTATGACAAAAAATATGGTGTTTTTTGAAAGTTTTCAAGTTTCGTGTTTTGTCAACTAACAGTCCGAAACCCAGAGATACTCAGTTTACAAAGATATGAAACAGAGAAACACAGAACATTTGAGACATTTGAGAACCTGGAGCGGTCACCTTCTCAATCATCTTTTTATATCTAAATAGTTGCTTATTAAATTTATTTTCGATTAACGTGTGTGTATGTGAGAGAGAGAGAGAGAGAGAGGGTTAGAGGGTGTCTGATGCTGTACATGTTGTGATGCCAACAGACATTGAGTGATTTGGGGCTATGTTAAGAAACCTGACTTGACTTGAGTCCTCGCCTTTCCCCAACTTTGAAATTTCTTGCCGTGGCTCAAATCTCCACTCTAATGTAATCTTTAGTAAATATTTTTAGGCAAATAAATTCTATCACCAGATTACAACATTCAATAGATCTCCAGCCAGTGGATATATATGACTCTCCCCTATTCTTCACCATTTCTGTCTCTGAGTCTAAAACAGGGTCTGAGCTGGCTTGTCCTATAAGCTTATGTAATGTGTTGTGTATATGTGTCTCATCCGCAGCATTGTCTCAAGTTTTTGTAAGGGCTTCCTGCAGGCAGACAGCCATCTATCGCCGCACCACCATCACTATAAACCCATCAGAGTTATTTCTGGATGTCATGATGCTATGTTTTGTTCTACAGCAGCTAAAAATACACCCTTACCTCGCTGGTCCTGGAGCTTCAGATAAAATCTGTATTGTTTTTGATTAGAGTGTGTAAGTGGATTTATTGTGTTGTATACTTTGGCAGAAGGTGGCAGGTTGGTGAAGTGAAAGTTTTATAAACACATGGAGGCACAAACTCTCATTCAAACAGCTGCAGGGGAAGCAGCAGTGCTGCAGGACAGTCAAGGAGATAGTCTCACCATTGATGTGTGTCTACATGTTATATGTGCCTTAGGGCAAGGGTCACCTCTGTCCCAGCTGTCTTAGGGGGCGCAGGCTTGGCATGCCCCTCAGATTTGCAGATACCCTCTCTTCTCCGCTCAACACAAAGCCGTAGTTTCTTGAGAACGCACATGTGCCACACTTCACAGCACACGCACACTGAGGCACCCGGACGGGCACACGACATACCCCACGCAGACCAACTGCTTCCTCAGTCAAACATTTCAGCACATGAGGTTTGAGCTCGGCCAAGTGGAACGGCATCTTGCTTTTTGTCAGGCAAACGAAGGATTTAGAAGCAATTTAAGAAATACAATCGTATGATCAAGTTAATGAAACTGGAACATGCTATGAAAACAATTTGATGTAATTAGGGTGTTCGATTTGAGCCTTGAAATACTTGACTAAATGTAGTTGAGTTTCTTTTTGTTTCTTACTGTTTGTCTGGGATGACTGGAATTGATGTAATTCCTCAAATCGAGACCTTTGACAAATATGTATGGCATAATATCACCATTTCATTAAAAACATTCCTGAGAAGAGCGATGTGATATGTAGCTGTGTAAGAGGACCAGCTCTGACAGTTGGCTCAGCCAGGCTACAGCAGTTGCAGTCATGCACATTTACGCACGAGCACGCATGCATTTACACACACGCACACTTGCACACATTTACACACACACACACACACACACACACACACACACACACACAGAAGAAAAGTGTGGGTCAGTAGCCAGTCCCCCCCACCACCACCCCACCAAGGGGAACAAGACCAGCCGTCTGCTCCAGGCCTCACACATTCCCACACCACACATATACTCACACATGCGCACACGTCACATTCGGCTCAACTTTCCTCCATACCATGCTTGCCCTACCCCCCAACCTCTGTATATACATGTCCCCTTTCTTTACCACACGCATTTCTTCCTCTCTGCCACGTTTTGCCATCACTTACAGTGCATTAAACAGCAAAGAACATCAGTCATGGATGTCTGTGCTCTCCAGATGGACCTTGGAAATCTTGACTACCCTAGCCCACATCAAAGCTGGTAGGGAGTTCCCAGCAGGAGGCTGCTAGTTACTACTGCAACCTCAGAAGTTTAGGCGGTTTGATTCAAGGACAGCGTGGGTAAATACTTTGTCTGGGGGGTCTCAATCTCTGTCCCATTGCTTTGCGTACAGCATTTGTTCTCCCACAGCGAAGGAGATGGTTAAAATAAGTAACTCGTGCTGCTTAGCCTTTTTTTAAGTTCTGCTTTTCAGTCTCCATTGTCTGACATAGACACAGTCAAGCTTTAAAACAACAGTTCAGAGTCAGCACAGCGGATTGAGAAAACCGTAAAGTTTCTTTGGATACCAGGACTGGTGGCTGACCACACCAGGGCAGAAGATGTACTGGGAGCTGTGGCTGAGCCAGGTCACTGCCAGTGCCGCGCTTCAATGCATGCTGGTCCAGAACAAAGGTGGGCAAGCCTTCTGTGTAGATGTGGACAGACTGGACAATACAGAGATAAATTGTTAGGCAGAGAGGAGAAAGATATTGAGTGTATATACTCTCTGTTCAAATCTCTCTGCTCTCATCTGCATGCATCATGGCATGTGCCTGCCACATGGTGTAGATTAGACTAACAATTTAAAATGTTTAATTTGTTGATGAGTTTCTGCCAACCTCGCAAGATTAGAACAGTGACACTCAATACTTTGACCAATCTAAACTGGTCTATTGAGAAATTGGCTAGTGTCTGCGACGCTTAGTAAAAACCTCACTGACTTACTCCTTATGGTCTGATGATCAAAAGTTGTCAAGCATCTAACATTTCTCAAGTTTGTGTTCATTCTCAAATTAAATACTAAATCTGAAAGAAATGTTAGCTTCAGAGCGGTGTGTGATCTGTATCTGCATCATCAAATGATATTAAACATCTTGATATTGTATTAAATTAAATTTGTTTCTGTTTTTTACAGAAAGTTTACAGTTGTTATACATATAAAGAAATGAAAAAGAAGACAATAATGCGTAACCTTTAACAACTGTATCTACACTACATGTTTTTCATGTTCATTCATTCTTTTAAAAAGGCAAATTTACAACAACCACAGAATCAGTCCATGCTGTTTCGAGGTGAAAAGACAATATAACAAATGATGTGCTTTACTTAAATAAGGCTTGTGACTTAAAACACAATTTATAATCCTTACAAGAGAGCGTAATTTGTTTGGTCTGACAGTGAACAGAATATAGTACAACTGCTAGAAGCTGTTATGAATCAAGTAGTTTCTTCATTGAAGTTTTTCTTGAACGTGTAGGTGGTAGCTTGAAGTGATGGCAGATGTTGGAAACCAGAAGTTAACCATTAGCTGTCCTCACGTGTCTCGTGTTGTCTTTTCCTGTTAAAATTCCAAATCAAACCCATATGATTTTCTTTTTCTTAGCCATTAACCATTCACATGAACTATTTAGTTACATTTTAACTAAAATAAAACACATAGGATTCAAGACAACAATTTAAAGAAATAACAACTTGTCTGTGCTAATGTAGGTCCCTGCCAAACCACTTTTTAATTTTGGACTGTACATATCCAAGTCAAATAATACAGCTAGAAGACTACTGTTTATGGTCTTGCCATCATTTTGCAGGGTTTTATTGGTTTCCCTCCCTGTTGTATCTCAATGTTTTCTCACATGGACAAATTATAAACTGAGAATAATGCAATCCTATATAATTGTACCATAAACTACAATCCCCAAAATGACCATGGAGGTAAACGAACGTTGCAAGGCTGTTTTGGTTTACATTAAATTGTGTGTACAATTTAAGCAAGTTAATATGTATTTAATTTATTTTACTAATAGTGTTGTAAGATTGCAGCTAGTGTTTCCTACAGGCAGAGTAGATACTTTAGGTGTCGTGCATCTGCTAAAGACAATGTTTATGTTTAACATTATAAACAAATATTTTAAGGAACACTCATGCTAACACTAATGTTTGAGTTGCTGCTTCCACCTCATTTTGAGGCAAGGAAAACCATGTTATGTAATAGCTTTTTAGCTTTAAGGTTGCTTAACATGAAAGTACTTGTTCTCCATTCTTTGTCCCTCTATTTCTCCACCCTCCTCTCCCACTCGCTCAGCAGCTGTCCAGACACGCAGTGACTTTGCCAGCAGCTGTCGAGTGTAGTGAGTGTTAGCTACGCATGTACTACTTGATCATTGTGCGGATGAGTGGGTTACGTATGGTAATTACTGCATCTTGTGTAGAGGGAGAATCTGTCCTATCCCAGTTTTGTAGCTCCTCCTTCTTGCTCTCTGTGTGTATACACAAAAACTCTCACACATCAAATCTTACCTCGCTCAGAGGAGACACAGCGGGCCTCTGTACGCTGCAAGTGATAACCGTGCTCTCCAGAGAGTGGATTGGTCAACGTAATGCTTTTGAGGTGTCTGCAGGCAAGCAGCAGCTTTGAGGAAGAGTGGACGGCTCTGAGCGGCCGTCATCTCCACACAGGGTTCAGGCAGGGGAAACCATCTGGACAGACAGGTAGAGGATTAGGAATACGGGCAATTCATTCTGTACCAATTATTTTTGGGACATCAGTCTTACACTTGGCTACCCTGCTACCCAAGTACTTTTGCCTCTAGACAGTATTGGAGTAGGACAGCTTTTTATGATTACAAGACACAAAACAGCTTATTGTTAAGGGTTTAAATTGGTTTTACTGTAGACTGCACCTTCTTGATTGTGGATATGATTTTTTCCCCCGTGCCAATTTTGTTTTGTTTGTTTTCTAGTCTCATAGTTCATCTTCTCTCTCCCTAACCCTTGCTCTTCATCTCCCTCCAGAAGCTCTCCACCGGCCGTTCGGCCTGGACACGGCAGCGCTGACGGAGGCGGTGCGCTGGAGCTCCAAGGAGAACCTGCTGGGGGCGGCCGAGAGCGACCCTAACCTCTTTGTTGCACTTTATGACTTTGTCGCCAGCGGAGACAACACGCTCAGCATCACTAAAGGTAAACAATGGCGTGGTACTGTCACTTTTTTCTCTGATTCACTGTCAATCATTGCAGTAACTGATTATGCATATGTTGTTTGCCTATTAACAGCTTCACAACTTCAAATTCTGATTTCACAGTGTGCTGAAAAAAGACTTGAAAGACCTGTCCTCCTGTATACTCTTTCCATGCATCATCACTGAAGGTTGTTACTTAGCTACGTGATGTTACTCCTCTAGAGTCAACAGTGTGGCATGAAAAGGTGTGGTTGAGAACATTAAATCGATTGTTCTCAGTCACGCCTTCCACACTGCTGACATTTGTTGGAAAGATAGACTGTATAAAACATGGACACCGTGTCCGTGACGTCAGCCATAGGTTTCTGAAGAGGTGTGGGTGGCTTCCGGTGGCACCGGCTGTCGCGATCTTGGCAGCGTCTGACTCTGGCTTCAAACTCACTGGGAAAAGAGATAGAGCTGAGTTAGTCTGAATGAAGCCTGGTTATTGAACCACCTAGCAGCCAGCCCTGTCGCTCCCATCAGCCACCTCCTTAATTATGCATAACTTTAAGCTTTAATATTATTTAAACTGGTAAGTTACATAAAAATTCACCCCTGCACAGGGTAAATTACAAAGAGGGGAAATTAGCTATAGAGACCAAAAACCTCAAGGAGCAATTAGATGTACTGCAGTGTTTATCACTTGTGCATTGGGTCATTTTTCAGCCCTGAAGGTTGCCGCTTGGTTGAAACAGAATAGAGGTATTTCCTTACATGTAGTAAAATGTCCCTGCTAAAATCGTCAAGGCAGTGCCATTGATTGGAAAGTCAGCAACTCCTATAAAGAATGTTTTCTAAAAGTGTAGCTATGCCACAGGAATGAGGTGTGTCAAAAGAGCGTACCCACCTGTCTGTAATTTCACCCTGTTTCAACATCAGCAGGTATCTGACCCAAAGCGTATAGCTTTCTTTGTCACCCCACATCCCTCTTTCACACTATACTCCTAATCATTTTACACCACCTGTGAGCCAAGTGTTTTTATACTTTATTATCCACCAGTCCAGAGGTTGAAAATTAATATTAGAGCTTGTAAAGAGAGGATGTTATCTGAAGCCTGTGCTGACAGGATGATTAAAATAGCACAGGTGCTTCCACTGTGGTTCACTCATTGTCTTATTTCTTGCTCCTCTCTTCATTAGACACACTCTTTCTTCAATGACAACCTCCGCGCTCTCAACCAGCAGCAGCTAACCAGTCAACCAGCTTTCCCCTGAGTAATGAGCTTAAAATATCCTCATAATGTTATCCAGAGACAGCCAGGCTTGTGTCCCCAACTGATCCACAGCATTAAACGTGGCAGAGTGTGTTCATTATCCATAGTTTTAGGACTTCTACTGCAGCTGCCTGGGATGGAAATGATGTTTAGACCCTGACTCATGGAGTGAATCTGAGATTCCTGCCCACATGCAAGAACATGTGCGCTCCCAGGATCCTCTGCACTTTTCCTATCTGTCCCGGTCTTTGGAAACACCCCAGCATGCCTCTAATGCTGCGTTAATATGGAATACGTTTGACTGTAATAATAACAGGTGGATGGTGGACAGCAGGCGGAGGCTGATCACAGGGTGGCATGGGACATGCCCATGTCTGGGCCTCTCCTCGGTGCCAGGCCAAACCAGGCTAGGCCAGACCAGAGTCCCGCTTCAGGCACACATTGCTCCCAGTGTGAGGCAGGGAGGCAGTCAATGTTTCCACTTTCACAAAACTTGCATGCACAGAAGACAGACACAGAGGAGACTGATAGATTGGTGGTAGTTGGATGCGGATAACCATCTCTCTTTAATGTAGTTCAGTGGATTGCTAGCATAGTGTTTCTTATTAAGAGCTAGACCTGGCAGCTCTGGTTAGTGGTTATATGTTAATTGGGCATAACTGTCTTACTGACTCGACTTAGTATAGCTCCTTAGGTTGAATGTCATTTTGCAGTTGACTCTGGCCCTGCGTGAAATACCGTAGTCATAAATGAGGTGCACATTCCTGGTGGATAACGTGGTAATTTGAGCGGTATATTTCTGTTGCTTACCTTACCACAAAAGATCAAATAATTGCTGCTGTGATAACTTACCAGAATTGCAAAATCCTGTCCGTGAGTATTATAAACCGCTGTGCAGTGTTTTGGCATCTGATAAGCCTTTAAGTGCATAAATCTGTTTATCTACCTGGATCAAATTTCACTGTCTCACAGGTATCTGAGGCAATACGCCCCACACCAATGCAGCCCCTTGCGTTATTTTACCAGAAAATGGCTTGTTTTTTTCTGCTAAAGGGTGACATACCATGTAGTCATCAGAGCTGCTGAAAGAATTCAAGGATTTAAGGGATGCTTTGTGTGTAAAGCTTTGCATCTGAGTGGAGGGGGGGATAAAGACTGCTGTCGAGAGGTAGAAAAGGAAGTGTAGCAAATGTGTGGTGGAAGTGCAGAGGTAGGTAGACTGTGACTTCCTCCTCCCTCCTGGGGCTTAGTACTGAGCGTCTGCTTTCTGCCAGACCATGGCTCACCAATCACTACCCTCTTCCTTATCTTTCGTCTTCCCTTTTTCTGTATCCTATCCTTCATCAACAAGCGGCTTCATTCAGTGTTCTTTGTTGTACCGATGGATCCTTCCCTCCTCCAATCTCCAGCATATAAGCCACTGTGTTCCCTCATGTCTCCTGCACTTACGTCAGAGACAGACAGACCAAGTTGCTACATGCTTGGTTTTGCCTAGCCCTGTATGACGGCTAGGCAGTTCACCCAACCCTATCATTGTTTCATATCTTTTGATGTAGTTTCAACGAGTCGTATCATGACTCCATTCATCCTGTATGTGACCTGTTATTAAGGCCAAATGACCAACTCTGTGACCTGAAATTTCATTCTATGTTGTGAAAGAAAGTGACATCCTACAGTCAGTGTAAGATATTTAATCATGAAACAATAGCACCTTTTCTTAAAATTAATTTAAATTTCAAGTATTTTGTCAAAATGGCTTGCAAGTTTAGTAAAGTACTGATTAGCTGTAGTTTCTTTTTAAAGGGTGCGTATGAGTGAGATTAAAAACCAGGAACATGTGACTCGTTTACCATGTTAATCTTTCTAACCACCAGTTCATGTTGCTGCTGATTATATCACCATTAGATCAAATCTTACAAGCTGCCCCTCCCATGTCCAGGTGAGAAGCTGCGAGTACTTGGCTACAACCAGAATGGAGAGTGGAGTGAAGTGCGCTCCAAGAACGGCCAAGGCTGGGTTCCCTCCAACTACATCACGCCGGTAAACAGTCTGGAGAAGCATAGCTGGTACCATGGGCCCGTGTCACGCAGCGCCGCAGAGTACCTGCTCTCATCCCTCATCAATGGGAGTTTTCTGGTCCGGGAAAGCGAGAGCAGCCCCGGACAACTGTCAATATCTCTCCGCTATGAGGGGAGAGTCTACCATTACCGGATCAACACAGCCTCTGATGCAAAGGTAGAGTGTATTACAAGTGTTTGTTTTTTTGTTTTGTTTTTAGAGACATTCCAGAAAAATGGAAGAATGCTTCATATTTAATTGTCTGGTTTATTAACTCTGTCCTTCTCTTCATCCTTTCCTCTTTTTCTTTGTCTTCACCCAACTCCATGCCTCACCCTCCCTTCTTCTCCCCACCAGGTGTATGTGACGTCTGAGAGCCGTTTTGCCACCCTGGCCGAGCTGGTCCACCACCACTCAACCGTAGCCGATGGCCTGGTCACCACCCTGCACTACCCAGCGCCCAAATGTAACAAGCCCACAGTGTACGGCGTGTCACCCATCCATGACAAGTGGGAGATGGAGCGCACAGACATCACCATGAAGCACAAGCTGGGAGGAGGCCAGTATGGGGAGGTGTACGTGGGAGTTTGGAAAAAGTACAACCTCACTGTGGCTGTCAAAACACTCAAGGTAAGAAGGCCCTCTTGCTATTATTTTATTTCACTGACAGCTGAATTGTAAATCCAGTTTGCGATGGTTATTACCTCAGCACCTTTGTATGTGTGCTTCATGGGGCAAAACAGTGGTTTTAGATCACCACCTGAAGGTAGACTTTGGTATTACACAAGATTGTCACTTTAGGTATTGTGTGTTAAATGTTCCGTTCTACTATGTCTATCCAACCCATTGATAAAATCCCTCTGTCTTTTCTTTTTTTTCCTACAATGACAGGAGGACACCATGGAAGTTGAAGAATTTCTGAAAGAGGCAGCAGTTATGAAGGAAGTTAAACACCCAAACCTCGTTCAGCTTCTAGGTCTGTATTTTTACCACTCATTGTATTTTGTTGGTGAACCTTTTGTTTTCGTTTGATGTACTAAAAAGTTATTGTGCCTCTTCAAAACCAAACCAATTTTCACATGTTATTTATTTCAATACATTTGAACCTCCTGAAATGACTATTGAGCCGGCGTTGGCAGACACACTCTCTCTTAGTGGTTAGTGGCGTCTTTATTCTAACTGTGGCCTCTCCCACAGGTGTGTGTACACTGGAGCCTCCGTTCTACATCGTGACAGAGTACATGCCACACGGAAACTTGCTGGACTACCTGAGAGATTGTGACAAGGAGGAGGTGAATGCTGTGGTGCTGCTGTACATGGCCACACAGATCTCCTCTGCCATGGAATACCTGGAAAAGAAGAACTTCATACACAGGTAAGGGGATTTTTGAGGTGTTTATGTGTGTGTGTGTGCATGCCTTGCATATTTGTCCACCTCATATATCAAAGTAGTTAAATTTCTCACCTTTCCCACCTTGATTCCCCCTCTTGTACTTGCTTCTTTATGCCTCTCTCAGAGACCTTGCAGCGAGGAACTGCCTCGTTGGGGAGAATCATGTCGTGAAGGTTGCAGACTTCGGCCTGAGCAGGTTGATGACTGGTGACACCTACACTGCCCATGCTGGGGCCAAGTTCCCCATTAAATGGACTGCACCAGAGAGCCTTGCATACAACACTTTCTCTATCAAGTCTGATGTCTGGGGTGAGCAATAAATGTGCATACATTCATACTACACACATAAACATGTTCTCCCTTGTAGCTTATTTCCAATGTGCTAATGTCTAATTCTTAAATGTCTTCCTCACAGCATTCGGGGTGCTGTTGTGGGAAATTGCAACCTATGGTATGTCTCCATACCCGGGCATCGATCTGTCTCAGGTGTATGACCTCCTGGAGAAAGGTTACCGCATGGAACAGCCTGAGGGATGCCCACCCAAAGTCTATGAACTCATGAGAGCATGTGAGTAGTAACTATTTTACCTACCTCTTACTTATTCAGCAAGTGGTTGCACTCCAGTGGAAGACATGATTAGAGGTTGACGGCATATGATCGAAGAACTTGCGTTAAGAGTTTGTAGGTGTCATGTCACAATTCATGTAAGTCATTTGAAAAAAAAAAAAGACTAAATATAGTCTGGAATTGAAGGATATTTTGATTCTCTCACTACCAGGCTGGCAGTGGAGCCCAATGGACAGGCCTTCGTTTGCAGAGATCCACCAAGCCTTCGAAACTATGTTCCACGACTCCAGCATCTCTGAAGGTACAAGCTTCTAAAATATCTGCACTGAACAAGCTGAACAGGCAAACTCGATCCCTTTCATAAGGCTCACTTTTATTAAGCTCAGCTGTGCTGCCCATCTGATTCAGTCAGACAAAACTTTACTAATCCCTGTTAAGAAATCGTGTCATTGGAGCAGCAAAGTGTATAAAATATGGGTAGTAAGAGTAGAAGATATCGATGTGTAAAATTTGAAAACAAAAAGAGAGAAAAGTTTATACCTGACCAATTACTGCAAGGATTTGGCAAATTATTTAATGAAAAACATTGTCATGTAAATGAAGGTTGGTTTATTTAGTCAACAAATATATGTATGTTGGTTTATACTTGGATTGTGACTGGCTTCTGATCAAGTCATTTCTTTTTTGTACATTGCAGAGGTAGCAGAGGAGCTCTGTAAGACGGCCTCCTCTGGTCACTGTGGACCGCTGCACTCTTTCAGTCACGACATGCCTCTGTTGCCTTCCAAATCTCGCACACTTCACAAGCACACAGAAAACAAGGAAAACATTGAGGGTGGACTCGACGGACGGTCCGACCACAGCACGCACAGTCACTCAGGTACAACCAGACATGCCTACCTTTCTACCAACCAGTCAGATGCACCACATTATGATACTGCAGGTATACCAGAGGGCACCAATTCACAGAGTCTGCAGCGACGCCAAGCCCGCCGTCTGAGAAGAAGGGCCGTTATTTTCCTCAACAACTAACCACTGGTGCCAGCATCTGTCTGGCATCCGGTCGAACATCCAGGCAGTTCTGCAAGCACAGCCTGACATGGTCCCTATACATTGGCTTAGAATTACATCTGTGTCAGCACTTTTTTTTAATTTTAGTATACAGTATTGGATTTCTAAGGTTCAAAGTTCTTTATTCAGCCAGGAAACTCCACTGCTAATATCCCTGACATCCAACACCAATTAAAAAATATTTAAATATTAGTAAAAACACTGTCCACTGCCATCTTTACCAACAGCATATAGAGATAATGGAGAGAAAATACTATTGTGTTAAACTGCCACTACATTCAATTCTCCATTATCTCAAAGAATATACGATCGTAGTAACTGAGTCAACATCTGTCATGTTGATTGAATACTTATCCTGTCTTTACTAGTTTTATTGAGATCTTCCTATCCCACTAGTTCTATGCACAGTATATAAATAAACATTTTAGCATTTACGTGAAAGGATTTCAGTTTCCTCAAGCATTATAAACGTGTGAGAGAGATATATATATATATGAAAATATTTATCTGTGATGGAAAGAGCTTCTTTATATTCTCTTTGATCCTTTTTGAAGCCTTAATATTATTGCCATATCCTAACACATCATGTATTCATTTTTGCTAACTCTAATATTAAATCTCCATAATATTGTATGTTTGTCTTGTCTTGTTTAAGTTATTGCTTATATATTTGTTTTATATTGAAAATAAAATGTTGTTTCGTGTGTGTTTATCTGATGTTTAAAGAAGACAGTCTGTCCCTGTTTTTGTCTTGGTCTGCCTTCTTCCACTGTGTCCATTTTGTTTAGCATTTGTGTTTTGGTCCGTGAACATACAGTGCACAGCAGCTTTCATCAAGTCATAAATCGAATAAAAGAAGTTATTTGAACATGAAGCATATTTCACAATGTCATAAAGCCCAAGGCAAGACAAAAACATCAAGGGCACATTTGATAATAATGAACCACAAAGGTTAATACAAGTAAGAATCTTTTTACTTTATGTTCATGGCTGGTGTGTTTTTTATATGTATTGTTTGTATGCATTTATATTTGCATGCAAATGATAAAGAGAAAACGTTGCCATGGAAAGAATACTGTGCATGAGAGAGAACTATCAGTGCCTTTATTTACTTCACATAACCTTTGTAGAACTCTGGAAAATGTATTTTCCTCTTTGAGCAAAGTTACACAACAACTGTCCTAGAAACAAGGGTGGGGTAGTTTCTTTTGGGCATGTTTTATCAAGTCCTAGAAGTGTATCCATCATTCCATCTTTTACAGGAGCAACTTGTAAATCATTGAATTAGTGTGTACATGTGGATGACTGGTCTCATTGGCCTCAAAACACTCCTTTCCTTTTTCTGAAATGCTTTTTCCTTACTCATGAGTCCCCGAGGAGGAAAGAACAGCTTTCAGAGAGAGAGAGAAGGAACACACAGTTGTCTGATTGCATCAGTGACATTAATGTATATGCAAGCATTTTGAGAGCGGTATTCTTCATTACCTGTTTCTTGCAAGCTATTATGCAACCTTTAAACAAATAATAGATTTCTTCCTGCTGAGTTCAGCCCAGCTTTGTTGTATTGTTTTAATCCAGTCCTCTCTTCTCCTTCTAGGCTGGGCTGCTTCTTTGTTTGGAGGGGATAGCCGATCAGGCAGCTCCCCGGCTCTGCCCAGAAAACAGCAACCACGTGATAAATCTCCTGGCAGCCTTTTAGAGGATGTACAGGATATGGGCACATTTACACGAGACCGCAAGACTGGCTTCTTTAGCTCCTTCATAAAGAAGAAATCTTCCTCCTCTTCCTCCTCGCCATCCTCTCAACTCCAACAGAACCTCCCGACGCCACCGAAGAGGAGCAGTTCTTTCCGGGAGATGGAAACACAGCCTCACAAGAAATACGAGCCTACTGCAGATTTCAGCGCTCCCCCTCCCCTACCCCAGTCGGACAGTCTCGGTGGCTTCTCTGCCTCTCCCTCTCACTCCCACTCCCAAGGTGAACCTGTCCAGAGTCAGTCACGCTGCTGTGGGGCAGCTTTTGGACAGAAACACTCTGTTGGGGGCCTTAGTTCACAGGTGACGAGTGGCAGCAGTTGGGGTGGATTGGCTGGTTTTTTCACCCCTAGACTCATCAAAAAGACCCTGGGGCTGCGGACTGGAAAGACAGCCTCTTCAGAGGAGGGTGGAAATATAGCTGGAGGGCCTAAACCCTTCCCTAGGTCCAATTCTACCTCCTCAATGTCTGCTGGGCTTCCAGACCTGGAGCGCATGGCTCTGACATTACCCAGGAACCGCAGTGCAAAACCCCCTCTAGAGAGGACTGCCTCCACAACTTCCCAGCCAGAGAACGGGGCCGCACGGCCCTCAGAAACTCTGCTGAGGAGGATGGACGAGGGGACCGCACAGATCAGGGAAAGGCCCAAAGCCAAGCTACTTCCCCGGGGCACTGCAGTAGGGGTGAGGGCGCCCGGGGTTGGGGGGGAGGTGGGGGAATCGGACAGTCTGTCTCGGGTCAGGGAGAGTAGAGAGGAGAGTGGGGGAGGACTGGATAGGCAGCAGAGTTGGTCATCTCCCTCTAAGACTTCTAGTTCAAGTGCTTCCTCAGCTGCAGCAGGTGTACCAACTCACAACCACAAAGTTCCAGTCCTGATCTCCCCCACGCTGAAGCATAGCCCAGCTGACGTGCACCTGGTAGGGCTAGACTCTCAGGGGAACCGCTTCAAACTACTATCTGAGCACCAAGCAGACCGTGACAGGCCGCGACTTGTGAAACCCAAGTGTGCTCCTCCTCCCCCTCCCACTCTGCGCAGCCTGCAACACTCCTACAGCAGCGACGGGGAGGAGCAGGTAGGAGGGGCACCTGTGGAAGTAAACGGAGACACTTTAAAAGGGCACAGGTCAGGGAGAATGTCAGGAGGAGGAGCGACGACGGGCAGACCGTCAGTGCCACCACCGCAAGTGCCTCCTGCATCATCCTCCTTCTTTTCCTCGTCTTGCTCTGCCACCACCAACACGACTCCCACCAAAATGGCCAACGGAGCCGCCACCACCGCTGCCCCCTCCTCACACACAGCAACATCTTCCGGTTCCAAAGTGGCACTTCGGCGAACCAGGCAGCAAGCGGAGAGGGTCCCCCTGGAGCGGGTTAGTCGTGAGGCCCTGCTGGAGTGTGTCGAGTGCCTGAGCAGCGCCCTGCACGCCAGCTCGGACAGCCCCACCAGCAGCCAGGTGCTGGACGCTGGCCACCAGCTGCTAGACTACTGCTCAGGTTATGTGGACTGCATCCCTCAGATGAGGAACAAATTTGCCTTCCGAGAGGCAGTGGGGAAGCTGGAACTCAGCCTGCAGGAACTGAGGGCCTCATCCTCAGGAGGTGGAGGGCTGAGCAGTGCGGGGCCCAATACTGTACTGGACAACCTGCACAGCTGTATTAAAGAGATTAGTGACGTTGTACAGAGGTAGCCACTGTGACTCCAATTGTCACCTCTTAACTACCCGGACAGATCGCTTTTATTCCCTTTTTGATGTTTCTGGTTCTATTGACAGCTTTTTGGGGGACGAAATGAGAAGAATCTCTTAAGTACCTCAGAGAAATCACTACAAAATGCTTTTCATTGTTTACAAACAACTGTTTCATAAAATGCCAGTGTGGACACTAATTTTGCTCTGACCTGTACATATTGAGAAATGTTTATACCAAACTAAATGTGGTTTGAGTCCCACCATGAATCGTTAAGCCCCACGTCGCCATATGGCTGCGATAAAGGCCTCTTTGCTAAATGAATGTCGAGTGTATCAGCTGTGTGTAGCCAGCCCAGAGAGTAGGTAAGTAAGTAAGTAAGTCTAAGCTCACTCTGCGTATCTGTCAGTCTGTCTACTCAGTGAGAATGGTGGTGGTTGTGTCCAGCCTTACTGAGAATACTAGACAACTGTTTTCACTGACTAAGCTCGAACAAATGCGTGAATCATCAGTTGGATGTACTGTGTTTCACAGTAGAGTATTTTGCTCAGTGTCTGGGGAACTGAGTGACCATAAGCCATTTTTTTAAAGCCATTGTATTCTAAAGGATTGAAAACAACATCAGGATTCAGTATGATTAAAGGTTTTGGGGTCTCAATTTGACACTTTCATTTTGTGTGGAGAGTTTTGTTCTTATTTTTATTTCATATCATAGCTTGCAACTGACAGTGTTTTTAAGTAGAGATGGGCTAAAATTATAAATCTCCCCAAAACTGTTTTTGCTGGTATCAGATTAAAGCCTTGTTTTTGTGAATAATCTTATAGAGAATAATCAACTGTTTTGACGCTGACATTCCCACATGTCCACACAAGACGAGACCGTTGAGAAAGACTAAAGGGATCACTTATCATTGAAAGTTGTGTGCATTTGACAAGTGTGTAAATAAGCTCAAATGAAACGTTAAGTTTGCATTTCAGTAATACCAAATACAGGCTTATCAAATCTAAAAAAAGACAAGATTTATATGAATTTATTTTGTTTATTCCCCACCATAGTAAAACTTAATGAATGAATGTGGGGTGTCTTATCATATGCACAGCATTGTCTCTGCTTCAGTGATGTGACTGATATTCACACCTCTACACAGTGCCACATAAATGGGGAATATCCCCAGTCCCCTAAAGCATTTCATTATTTATGTCCAGTTATCCCTGCACACTACATTTCTTCCTTGTCTGATGGAGCATAAGAGAGTGGAGGTGAGGAGAGGGGAAGAGCACAGGGTAGCGCACGAGCAGGTGAATTGGGACAGTGTTTCTATAAGTGTCCTTCCTGTTGGACAGTGCTGGATTCCCTGTAGCCTTGTCGTGGCCTCAGTGCCTAAAATTCTTCAATGTATGAACACTGCGAAATGCAGAGACCTACTTCACAGTAATCACACCGTACTGATCTCTCAACACAACAAACTGCAGTATGTCTTCAGCACATGAGCGATTTGTACATTATTTGGTTCAAAGAAAAATGCTTTTTAGAATGTCTATGTATGAACTTGAATTTTAAATTATTCCTGTTTTTTTTTTTTTTTATTAAAAGCACAGACCTATTTTGAGAGAAAAGTTATGTAAATATTTGATTTATTTCATATCCAGGAAACAAAAGATTTATGTGTGGTTACAGCATAAAGAGCAATGACTGCGACTCATCCACCCAGATCTGAATATCTGCTTTATGAATGTATTATTCTTCTGTTCTGAAACCGGTCGAATGTTCATCTGCATGACTCTTTAATTTCTTAAGGTGCCATTTTCTTTTAATTTATTACTTTTTATTGTCCCATATTTTTAATTTTGGTCACAATAAAAATTTAAGTCCAGAAACAGCTGCTGTTTTTGTAGCACAAACACAACTGTGTACAGCGTGCACACACAACCCACAGATTTTTATTTTTTATTTTCTTTGGGTCACATCTTAACGTACACTGGATAAGGCCTCAGACACAATGGTTCATTGACACATGTTGCATACGTATACTACGTCTAATCTCTAAACACTGCAGGTCCGTAACACTTTCAAAATGCCTGTTAATGACACTTGTTTTGTGGTGCATTTCATATCATCATTTCATGTTAATGTGTGTCAGTATAATTGTCCCATATCTTGCCAAAACCGAATCCTTGGGGGAAACTGATGATTTATTTCTATTAACTGTGAGTTTCATATAACATGGAAAATGCCATCTTTTTGTTTTAGTTTTTCATGATTCTTGGTGCCTTTTTGTGAACAAATAATTTATGTACAGTACACTATCACTTCAAGAACTCACAGGTATGGTTATGTTAAAAGTTCATCGTTGATGTGTTTTATTTCCATGAGATTGTGATAAGGAAATCGCTACATCATGCATTTCTGTCATTTGGAGGCTAATGGTCAGATGCAAACTTGAAACCGAAAGGTGCACTTTGTCTATTAAGATTATGCACATAGATACTCAGTTACTACGACCGTTAATTAGTGGCTATTAACACTGTTAGTGCAGCCACATCTGGTTACGTTTCCTCTCTAACAAAGGACACATGAGTTGGGGCTGAATGATTTTGATCTAATTGCAATCATTTTAACTGATATTGTAATTGCGATATGATTTGCGATACTAAGTGTAATGATGATTTTTACATCATTATTGTCATTTTCATTGAAAAACATTCAATGTGTGATTTTTGCGGGGATCTGTACCAAACAAAGATGTTTTCTTAAGCCTGTAGAATATGATGTCTAGGCTAGGACATATCTGCAGCATGACAGTATTTCATTAAAAATGTTTTTTGATACACATATCACCTTTAACAAATATTGCGCATCCTGCGATTTGAAAATAGCAGTAGGCCATAATGCAATTTAGATGAAATGAATTGTTCAGCCCTAAAATGAGTCTGCTGCACTAAACCCAAGCTGCTCCGTTGTGTCATAATCACACCAGATCAAAAGTTTTGTCTACAAAATGTCTCTTTGTTATTTCCAAGTACCAGCTCCTCAGTCTGTAAGTTTCTGTTGATTTTTAGTGCGTCTCTGTCGAGCAGGCTTCCCTGATACCAGGTATCAGAGAGTTTAAGAAAAAATGTAACCTCCCAGAATCAAATGCATTTCTAGTCTGGACTGGGGTTTTTTTAAAGAAATAAAACATAAAGTAAATCATAGCAGTGTCAATGAATTGATTTGGTACCAATGTTTTTTCGTCAAATATGATATCTGGACTGATGCTGTTTAATATTTGACCATAAATTTCTGCTCATTCTCATTATCTGTCATCTGCATTGTCTTTCTTTATGTTGCCTACATTTATATACTGTTATTTTATTACTCCCGTCTGCCTGTTTCGGAGAGCAGCTCTGGAGAACATCATGTGTACACATCATTATACCAAAGGCCACTTCTTCAATTGTATGAGTGCAATGTAAACCAACACACACAATAATGAAATATGTGAATCTACACAGGGATGAAAAATGGCAGAGATGTTAACATTAACTTTTTTATTGTACAAAATATATATTTTGTGTTTTTGTTTTGTTTTTTTTATTTAAAGCTCACGTTATATTACTGTGAAGTTTTGCTTATCAGTGTTAAGCCTATTGTAAATAATAAAGATATCGATGAATACTTTTGTTTTTGGTTGTTCATCTGCTTCCAAAAACGAATCAATTTTAAACAATTAATAAAATGAGAGTGGGTGGCTCAAGAGCAAAGGCACGTTAGCCTCTTTGGTAAGCACACTGCTAACATGTCTTGTGTAAGAAATGTAAGAAAAATAAGGAAGTGCAAACTTTAAATGTTTACAGGACATCTTCACACCTCTTCATCTGTTGCTTTGCCCTGGAATAAACATAAATTCAGGTAGACTCCTCATCTGGCCATATCTCGACAGTGATTACTGTCATATAGCTAGAAACCCTTTCTTAAGTTAGGGCTCAGGCTTGGGTCGGCTACGAGGTTTTTGCTTTACAATATAGACTTAAAGTACTGCTTACATGTTTATGCATTAAAATTGATGATCCAGTTATATAATAATAGAAGCCATTCTGCACAGTACTTTTAGTTTTGATGCTTCATGTCCATTTTGTTGCTAATACTTCTGTACTAAGTTAGACTTTGAATGTAGGACTTGTAAAATAGTATTTCGGTGAGACATTGCTACTTTTACGCAATTCAAGAATATGAATCCTTCTTCTACCATATAGTTATGGTTGTAACATCCCTTATGTGGGGCGCACCATCACCATCATCATGTTCAGCAGCAGCAGCATCCAGCATCCAGCCCGTGACGCCTGCCCACACCTTATCCGGCTCCTCCCCAGTCGTAGCCTATTGTAAAGATGGCGTCCATCATGGAGGGGCCGCTAAGCAAATGGACAAACGTTATGAAAGGTTGGCAGTATCGTTGGTTCGTTTTGGATTACAATGCCGGCTTACTCTCATACTACACGGTACGTTCATGTCCACAGTATGTAAATACTGAACTGATCTGTTAAAGAGGTTAGATTGTAGAAGTTGTCGCTGGTTGTCAAACACAAGTGGGATAAGGGCCTTGTGTTTGTCAGGAGTTGGGAGACTCAGCTGGCACAAAGAGGCGAGTCTCTTCCGAGACAGATCCTTGCGTTAGCCAGTACCAACCGTCCTCCAAGACCAACTGACGAATCCGATGACAGTATGTTTTCCACACTTCCGCTTCAGCTACCTAGCTAGCTAGCAAAGCCAAAAGCCGAAATATACAGAACTTGTCAAACATTGTTGGTAATAGTTTACAGCATTGGGCGAGAGAGAGAGACAGAATTGTGTATCCTTGCGAGATGACATTTGTCCCCGGTAGTTAAATGAGTCCCACATTCACCGGTTTGCTAGCCAAATAACTAGCTAGCTAACAGGACACCGCGGGAGGAGACAGTGGCTGCTAGTTAGATTTTGATTAGATTATCCCGTTGCTATGAATTCAATACTCTGATTAGTAATACCGAAAATAAAACCAGTCTAGAAACTCCTATGTGTCGCTTCTAATGAAACAAGTTGTAAGGAAGGTAACAACTAAGAGCCGTCCACTCCTCTCAGAAAGTTGACAGAATCTTAAGGCATTAAATGTCTTATTTACTGGGCAGTACAGTAACGTTAATCGTTTTTTCCGGTGTATTAACTCTATATTGTAAAGCTAAAACCTCGTAGCAGTCACTACCCTGAGCCCTGACTGAAGGAGGGTTTTGTTTTGATAGTATGTATGACAGTAGTCCCTGTCGAGATATAGTGCTAGATGAGGATTAGCTGTGAGAATAAACCTGAAGTTTTGTAGTTACATTTCAGGGGAAAGCCACAGATGAAGAGGTGTGAAAAAGTCCATTTTGCTCGAGAAAGTAGTCTCGAGAGAAAGCTAAAGTCCTGAATCTGAAAAATGTAGAATATCCCGTTAAAGCAGAGCAAGACTGGAGTAGCAATTTTTGATGATGAATTAATCAATAGTCACTTTCACAGCAAAAATGCCAACCATTTGTTTGTTTCAGCTTCTATAATGGGAGGATTTGCTGCTTTTCCTCTTTCTTAGTTTGTATTGATGGTCCGACAAAACAGGCACTCCGAATATGTCGCTTTCTGTTCTTGAATATTTTGACATATATTTGACAATAACAATGGTTAGTTGCAGCTGATCTGTTCTATAACAAAATGGATAAGTTAATTTAATAGGACAAAAACTTGAGTTTTAAAAAAAACCCTACCGTACCCTGCATACTGACTGTATGAAACCCTGTTAAAATCTGTTGCTTGATTTACAGTCAAAGGACAAGATGATGCGGGGATCCAGAAGAGGATGTGTGCGACTTAGGGTAAGATTCTCAGATTCTTTTGACAGTTAAATCTTGACTTAAATCTTAAATTAAATGCACTCTGTTAATGCTTGACACTCAGCGTAGGACTGGGAGGGCAATCTGTTTGAAACATAAAGGGCTGGTTCACTATATGTAGGGACGTGTAGTTTTCATCTGACATACTAATTGCCCGATTTGTTGGAATAGTTCAACAGACCAGTCAATAGCTGACTGCAGCCACACTTGTTTAGCTTTCCCAGTAAAGGCGTTTGCCCTTACAATGCGTTTTTTAGTAGGGCTGACCCCTAATAGTCGAAGACTCAATGCTTCGATGGGCGGATCCTGATTCGACTGTCAATCTAAAAGTCGAAGCTTCGCAGCAAAACAAGATCACGCCATTTTGGCGATTTGGGGGTGCTCAATGTCTGATTTTACATAGAACTACCAGTTTAAAAAATAATTTTTTTAAAGTGTGTGAATAAATCCAAAATTGTAATCCTAACCCTGGGTCATCAGTGTGCATGTTTAGGAGTAGGGTTTATGTGTGTAGTGGCAGAAGATGAACACTTGCTGAAGAGACAGCCCCAGCTTCGCTGGTATTGTGCCAAGTTGTCCGCACCTCACGGGACTTTCGTATAATTTATCACCGTTGATTAACCACATAGAGAATATTATATCGTTTTAAGTAGTCCCCCCAACCCTAACCCAGCACGCAATCGCCGTGCACAAAAACACACATGGTTCGACTATCAGTCGACTATTGGCAGGATTGACGATTTAGATTTGACTAATGTTATGTAAATCCTTAGTCGGGGACAGCCCTAGTTTTTATTATTGAGCCATGTCCACTAGATGGCAGCAGTTGCGCTACTATGTTATCTGTGTTTATAAGGGTAGAACAGTAGGAAGGGAGGATTTCTATTGCAGTAGGGTTTTCAGGTACTGAGCCTACAATAGTACTGAAAGACTCTCATTTCTGGAAGATGTTGTCTTTGTCAACAGAGTGCAAGACCTGAATGGTAGTACATTGACTTAAGTTGAGGAAACATTTGTTACTCTTTCCCTTTTTGAGGCAAACATTTGTCACCCAAATTCCCAACTTTAATTATTTACCCCCAGCAGCACTCCAATTCCTGATCCTGTACCTGCCCTCCTAAAATCAAGGAGGTGAAGTTTCTCATGCGTTTTCACAGAAGCCATGGCAAAAACCATGTTTTATGCCACCACACCTGTTTTAGGACAAAAGGCTTGCAGAGCACCCTGAACATGTTTTGGTAGCTCTCACTGAAGGGAGGAAGTGTCTCCTGAAAGTACCTTTATGGGTGTGTAGTCATGGGTAATAGGTTTCAGTTAGGGTTCAAGCAATGTGACAACGAATTTATTGCAATACTTTAATTTGACGATATGCATTATGGAGCAGATAAATGAATCCTTATCAATTTAACCCTATCTATTGTATTACAGCGGGTATTGAAAGTATTTATTTGCCTTGGACTTGTATTTTGAATCTATGAATGGGGATGTAATTATGATTTACACTGATCTACAGAAGAAAAAAATGCTTTTAAATATGAAAACATCTCAACAAATTTAAAAATCATCATTTATTAAACTTGTCAACACCGTTTAAATATCCCTGTCTGTTTTCAGTTTTTTAAAAAGTGCTTATATCAAACCCTGATGCCCGTATCATATATTATACCAAATGCTGAGCTGACATTTTCAGTATTTTTCGTCCATCTGTGGTCCTGCTAAACCAGTCATGCAGGTAGCCATAATATCTGGTGTAGCATTATACTGGTTGTTGATGTTGGATTATTTTCAAGTGCAACAAGACAACTACGTTTTTCACTGAGTCATATCATTCAATCTCTGTAGAGTAAGAGTTGCCCCATGTCTAAAGGTAAAAAAACTTTAAAAAAAATAGTGGACTCCAACTGCATTAGTCCACTAGCCTTCAACAAATCATTACCTTTGTGTGTCAGTTTTTGGTGACACTGTTAAAAATCTGTGCGGTATCTTATGTGGTCATACTTTCTGGTCATCTTAGGCAGAGCAAGGAAAATAGTTGGACATATTGACTGTTTAAGATGCTGACTGGTTTCAACCTGACAGGGTGAGAGATAAGGCCAGAGATACTATACTACTATACTGAACTATATACTATTACTGTGGACAATGGAATGGAAGTAGACATTCTTTCCAGTACATAATGAAATGACAGCAATGTACATTATCACAGTTATTTCAAAAGATTAAAAATGACTTTAGAAATCAGATCATGTAGTATAATGCATCTCCATTGTGAGCCACGTAATCTGTTCTAATCTCTTTCTTCATACAGTCCGGTATATATGCATTCAATATCAAAATCCTATTTTCCTCTCTGTCTGCAACGGTCACCACCCGTGAAGGACTGCTCAATGTATTATACTCCATCCACAAATAAAAAAATCTATCATTGTATTAACTTGCTCAGTCTTTGAGCTTCCGTTGTACAAACATTTATAAAGACAGAGTAGTAGCATTTTTGTATTTATTCATTTACCTACCTGTCTTTATATCTGACAAAACCTTTTATAGTTCAGAACAAAACTAAGCATGGAGTCACTTCTGAGAACATCCCAAGTGGACCGTGTGGGATTTATTTGTGCAGCCTCATTACTATAGCACATGACAAGATATGGCACAGATCTTTTCAAAGAAACTGGCTACGCTCTGTGGACAGCGGCAGAGACGATGCCCCTTTCATTTTCGTTGTTTCATGTGGAGCGACTATCTATCAAAAACTATTTAAGGAAATGTTATAAC